ATAGAGTCTTGCTGTGTTGCCCAAGCTGATCTTGAACTTCTGGGCTCAAGTGGTCCTCCTGCCTTGGCCTCTTAAAGTGCTGAGATTACATGTGTGAGCCAACACACCGGGCCTGGTTTTTATTTTTATTTTTATTTTTTTGAGACAAGGTCTTGCTCTGTTGCACAGGCTGGAGTGCAGTGGCATCATCTCAGCTCACTGAAGCCTCTATCTCCTGGACTCAAGCAATCCTCTAACCTCAGGGTAGCTGGGACTACAAGCATGCACCATGATGCCCAGGTAATTTTTAATTTTTTCATGGAGATGGAGTTCTACTATGTTGCCCAGGCTGGTCTGGAACTCCCAGACTCAAGTGATCCTCCTGCCTTGACCTCCCTGAGTCCTGGGATTACAAGTGTGGGCCACCATGCCTGGCATACCATAATGTCTGAAACAGTGTATGCACAATCAATCAAAATAAAAGGCAAAAGAAAATTTATCAAAGGTAAGAGCAGTAGGTTTAAAAAATATTCAAATGACTCCATACTGTAAACAAGGATTACAAAATCCTGCCTAAAAATATCTTCATGCGGTGATACTGAAAACATGTAACAATTGGTAGAGCATACACTTGAGCAATAGAGCAGACATTTATAGTAAACAATGCCAATATCAGACTGGCATCCCTAAAATATAAATCACCAGCCACACCGGTCCTCCAGCCCCCAAAACAAAATATTTAGACTCAGCCCCTGAAGCTTAGCTCTTTTTCACAACAGGAAGACTCTTAGGCTGTAGAAATAGGTATAAAGTCAAGTTTTCCAAACCAGAATAAAGATTGTAAGGTCTAGAAACCACACCAGGCACCAGTCTACAGGGAGGAAGGAAGAAGTTCTTGCTGCTCCTCCCTGACCTCACCACCCTACTTCCTGTCATCTGGTGCTCTGCTCTTTGACTCTGAAATCTGGTCCACACATCCCCTTCTCCTTTGGGCAGACTCGTGCACTCTTTTTTGTTTTTAACCTTCCCCAAAAGATGCACACTCATGCATTCATTAAGATCTGCCTCAAAAGTCACTTCCTTCATGAAGTCTTTTCTCAAACCACCAAAACCACCAGGCAGAAATGTGTTCATTTATTCAACTAATTTTTACTGAGCACCTACTATGTTCCAGATCCTGCACCTACTATGTTCCAGAGCCCGGGCTTATCATTTACTGAACTGTATGACAGCCATGTCTGTGGGTCTGACTCCATGGCTGTTGGATATAGTCATTTAAAAATACACTTGAAGGCCAGGTGCACTGGCCTACACCTGTAATCCCAGCACTTTGGGAGGCTGAGATGGGCAAATCACTTGAGGTCAGGAGTTAGGGACTAGCCTGGCCAACATGACGAAACACTGTCTCTACTAAAAATACAAAAATTAGCCAGATGTGGTGGCACACGCCTGTAGTCCCAAGCTACTCAGGAGGTTGAGGCAGGAGGATGGCTTGAACCCTGGAGGCAGAGGTGGCAGTAAGCCAAGATTGTGCCACTGAACTCCAGCCTGGGCAACAGAGCAAGACTCTGTCTCAAAACAAAACAAAAAGCACTTAAAAAGACATTTTTTTTTCCATATGGAATGTTGCCTACTTTATGTATTCAATAGTAATAGATATTCACTCACTCATTCCACAGCCTGGTGCAGTGGAAGGATAAACTGTTTTCTTTTATAGTGCTTTGAGTTATTGTTTTATGGAAGTATAAGCTTCGAAACCAGAGAAGCTTGAGACACTGGTCCTGTCCCTTACTAGCTGTTTAACCTTGAGCAAGTGACTTACCCACACTGAGCAGTTTCCACATCTGTAAAATGAAGATAAGAATGGTATCCTCTACAATGGCTGCTATGAGGATTAGATGAGCACATTGTAGAAGCTCCACGAATTTAAGGCAAAGTGCTTTCTAATCTATAAAGAGCTACAAGAATGTGCGTGATGATGTGTGAGCAGGTAGTACAGAAAAAAATAAATATGAGACTAGCAAACTTGCAAACAAGTGACAATTATTTAAAAGTTAGGGTACAAAATAGCACAAAAGCAAATGGATTTTCACAAAGTACTTTTTCTTATGTTAGGAGGAAATCTAGTTGTTAAGTGCTTGATACATCTGCAAGAGGAAAACAACATCTGTCCACAAGTATAACCATCAGCACTGCTCAGTAAATACTAATACATACGTTTGTTTATTTTTTATTTTATTTTTATTTTTTTCCCAGGCTGGAGCACAATGGCGCAATCTCGGCTCACCTCGCCTCCCAGGTTCAAGCAATGCTCCTGCCTCAGCCTCCTAAGTAGCGGAATTACAGGTGCCCGCCACCAACCCCAGCTAGTTTTTTGTATTTTTAGTGGAGATGGGGTTTCACCATGTTAGCCAGGCTGGTCTCAAACTCCTGACCTCAGGAGATCCACCCACCTCAGCCTCCCAAAGTGCTGGGATTACAGGCGTGAGCCACTGTGCCTGGCCCCATACATTTAAACAAAATAAAATCCTTGGGTGTCCTGGGATAAACTGAAAGTGAGGATTAAGTTTATACAGAAGTTTATTTACTGATAACTAATTTCATAAACTCCATAATAATGACAGTAGTGATAGCAACCATTTTTCGACTACATATTTGTATCAGGCACTTTACATACATTAGTTCATTTAATCCCTACAACCTCATAAAAGAGAAATGATCACTCCCTTTCCACTAATAAGGAAAT